TATTAGACTGTATATTCTAAGATGGCAAAGCCAGAATTTGTCTTACTTGCTACTATATTCTCATTTTCTAATGCAATGCTTAGAACATAGTACATACTACATATGCAGCTAACAAACAAATATAAAGACATATTATTGCATTGAAGTTTCCCAAAACATGATGGAATGCAAATTCTAAGTGACAATGTCAACAAAATCAAGAAATAGATTGAATCCCAGTTCGCAGTCTAAGAAAATACCATTACTTTTAGGTTTGAAATAATTACAGCAAAGTTTTATTTTATAGTGCTGATTTTGAGACTTCTCCTGGGTCTTCAGTATAAACAAAAGAAAGACAAAGTGATAGGGAAGGATAAAATAAGACTTAAAATGATGGAAACTTCATCATTTAAACCATCATATATTCCGCGGTTTGGCTTGTGCCTGCGAAATCACATGTTGAAATTGATCTCCAATTTGCAGTGTTGAGAGGTAGAGACTACTAGGAGGTGTTTGGGTCATGGGAATCAATCCCTCTTATATAGATTAATGCCTTCATGTTGTTGGGTTGAGATGGGGTGGTAAATTTTTGCTTCAGCGGGAATGGGCTTGTTCCTGAGAGAGCAAGTTGTTAAAGTCTATCTTCCTGGTTTCTCTCTCTTGCTTTCTCTCTCACCACGTGATGTCTTTGCATCTGCCTTCTCCTTCCCCACTCCCTGCCATAAATGGACTCAGCCTGAGTCCCTCACCAGGTGCAGCTGCCCAGTCTTAACTTAGACTTCCAGCAGCCAGACCTGTGAGCATTTACTTCTTTCTTTTATAAAATACCTAACCTCAGGAATTATGTTATAGAAACACAAAGTATAATAAACCAATGTATATAGTAAATTACAAAGTAAAAGGGAGTATACATTATATATGGGGTGGATAGTAAAAAACTTATTTACATTTAAAAGAATAATTGAGGAGCCAGAGAACGCAGAATTCTATAGTAAAGTGAGATACTCATGTCTCCAAAAAAAAAAAAAAGAAGAGAGAGAGAGAGATAGGGTGAGAAAGTAATAAAATAATCTGCAGCATAGTTGCAGAATAATGGTGGACTGAAATATGAAGATATGTCTTCAAAAAAGTGAAAGTGATAAAAAATTTCGAGCATATTCATAAAATAAATGTGGGCTGAAATGCAAAGACATTACATAATCTGTAATATTCTCAAATCCATGAAATCAGGGTTCATTTTTCACAGATAATCAGTAATGTAAAGCCTTTCATTGAACCTGTGAAGCTAAGAGCCGGATCTCCCTAATCTATGGGAGCTTATTTAAAGACACCTGCCATGCATCACTGAACAAAGGGAAAGTTGATTCCTGAGGGTGTCCCCACCTGGGTGATTGGGACAAATGTGGAAGCCAGAACACATGGATTCAGTCCTTTATACTTCATATGCCCAATGTCCTCGCACGGCCTCATTAAGTCTCCCACTTTTTTGTGGCTCCACTGTCAGTTGGCAGGGGTGTCTGTCTCACATACTCTAAGGGTAGCTGAGAACCACCATAGCTCTCCAAACTAAGACTAGGAGCCACAGCAAGGCTTAGAAGCCCAGTGGATTAGCCTGTGGTGTCATTCAAGATGCTCTGGGAGCTGAAGAACAGCATTGTGTCACAACATTGCAAATTGAGGACGACATACAGGAAGGTCCAAATGGCTAAAGTCCAAGTCCTAGATTGTGAATCCCTTAGCTGAGACCTTCAGCGTTTTCTGCTTTCTTTTGAGGCATGTTAGAAAGCTCCAGACAGTGATTCTTGAGGTCTGTGACTGCTGTATGTCATGATTATGGCATCTTAGAACCCTGAGTGTGAGAACCAGATGAAGCCTCCATCCCAGGTGATATGCAAATGTGTCCTTTCTCTAATCAATCTTCTAATGCAAATGTTAGAAGTTTTAAAGAGCTTTTAAAAGGCTTTTGCTGGCACTTTCATGCATTGCTATCTTAAGTTTGGGTTCTCTCTCAATGATTTGCTCTTTTTTTTCCTTGCCTCCTCGTAAGTTTCTATTCTTTCCTTTGTTTTCATTCCTTTGCCTTTCTTTTGGCTGAACTACATTTACAGTTTATCTGTCTTGTAGCTGTTCCTTTGTTTAAGTAAATTTTAACCCATGTGCAAGGTACTGATCCAATTATTATATATAGCTACAGAATCTGTCATCTATCTATCTAGATATACGTATATATATATATATATATATATATATATCTGTACAATTACTGTGTATATACAAATACCATATTATATAAATATAATAACACACCCATACACTCCATACCCACACACATAGCTTTGAGAAAGACAATTTATTCTGGAAATGAGGCTTATAAGCAGTGAGTTTGGGAATCAAACCCAGGCAGTGTAGCTTCAGGAAGCTGCTTTTAATCATGATGCCATGTTACTCTCGGCTGTCTTTTTTACATTGGGTACTGATATACAGCAGAAACTTCACTCCAATTCCAGGCAATGTAAGCACTCAAGAATCATTTTGAAATTTGCCGGAAATGTTGCCTGCTCCCTTCTTTATCTGGATCCCTTGTTCACTGTGGCTTCGCTTTTCTTCACCTGGGGTTTCTTTTCTGACCCATTCTGGTGTGCATCCCATTAAGGTAAGAGTTTTACTTTGTGTCAGGCACTGATAGAACCTTTCTTTCTCCATATACACCTGAACTTAACTGTCCACTTTCTCTGTTCTAATTACTTAACCTCGAATATCTTTTACCGATTTAGATGTCACAAGGAGTGACAGCAGTTTCAAGGGCATCCATTTTTGCTTCATTCTCCTCCCTTAGAATCCTGCATCTGCTTTGCTGGGTCTCAGATGAAATAGGCAACCCCTGTTTTCCATTCTTGGATATTTTGATGGCCAACTTTTCTAATGTTGTGAAATTGAAGGGCAAGAGCAGATAATGAGAAAGTGGATAGACAGGGAGCTGTGCTCTGAGAACTGGGCCAGAGGACTGATGGAAGGGGAGAAGAATTTCAGAGTGATTCTGGCAGGCATCACGGTTCAACAAGGGCCAGAGGAGTGGAAGATATGGGCACATGGTGAGAGGCCTGTGACAGGACATGGCCTATCTGTTTTACAGCAGAATGTTAATAGACATTAGATTTTAGTAGACAGAAGACGTATCTCTGAGTCAGCCTCAAAAACGTCCACAATCCAGAAGAAGAATAGTCACAGGCCCTAACCTCACCTTCTCTTTTGAGTATGGGCGCCACAGGGCAGTGAGAATGGAGCAGCTGTTACCTGAGGTTAAAGCCAATGTTTCTCTCTCTTCAGTCCATGCTTACTGGTAATGTCCAGTGGATGACTCGGCTACAGGTTTCTGAACTTCTGGCTTTTGAGGGAAAGACTTTCTCACCATCTATCCTGAAGGTATTCTATGTATTATGAGCCCCAGTCAGTGGCTCTTATCATCAGGAAGTCTTGGGAAGTACAGGACATTCAGAAGGCCCACATGTATAGCTTCCAGCCACGTACAGACAGCAGAAGGGGGTTCCTGTCAAGGCAGCACTGACCTTTTTCATCTCACTGTTCTGGAAATTACTGGGTCTGGCCCTGGTCATCTTGAAGGAGATGGACCATCCCTTCCTTCCCTCTACTCCAGTATCGTGTGCATCTTCATCAATGGTTTTGCCATGTTGTGTTCATCACGATTGTCCAGTTGATAGAAAATCTTGAAGAAAATTTCCAAAAGGATACTTACCTGGTCTCAGTTGCGAATTGCCTTTTTGCAGGAATCCACAGCAGGAATGGTGTTTCAATCAGGACTTGTTGGATCTCATGTTTTACAGGTCCCCCAATCTCTGGACGTAGATCCTCAGTGTCCACTTCTTAGGAAGTCTTGGTTCTATTCTTCCCTCCCTTGCTCTGAAAGAGTTCTAAAATATATATTCCATCCCACATTCTCTTCCTATGATGCAACTTCAAAACCACCACTGTTGAGTGTTCTAGTCCCTTTACTTTGTGTAAGCTTGTGACTACAGCTGGTACTTTACTCCATAGTGTAATGGTAGAATAGACTTCTCCTGACTCTGTGGGAATATTCACTGTGGAAAATTAAGTACTATGCTGTGAGCAAGCCCAAGTGGCTACCTGGAGAGGCCATTTGAATAGATTAGAGGTAACAGCCCCAACTGAGGAACCCCCAGACATCAGCCAGGATCATCTGCTGGACTGGAAGTAGAATGTTGTTGACATTATTTAATCAGTCAACAGGAAAAAAATGACTGTTTGGTGGGTAGACAGACTCAATGGACTCACTATAATCTGGGTTTTCACCAGAACTGGGTTTCATTTGTTTTGTCTTGGATTTCACCATTTTTTGTTTTTTTCCCCAGATACTATATGTTCTCACTGTAACATGAGGTGATGAACATGACTTGGGTCTAGGTTATCAGTGAAGATTCACAATCTGTGAATTGGAAGTATAAACACATTGAAAAGCAGACAGTCTGCTCACCTGTTTTTCACTGGGTGACGTGGTTTGCTTTGTTAAACAGCTACAGAAATCAATGTGGGCTAAACCCTTTTGGTTGTTGCTCAGACATCGCAAACAAGTTCTCAGAGAAGCAACAGGCTGTACCATTTAGCCTATGTCTGCAGATGGATAAGCTCTCCAGGTTTTTGTAAGTTCACTCTGATGTTCACATAGTGATCAAATCACCTAATAATGTCTTTTTATCGCCGTAGGACACATGACTGTTAAATCCCTATTCTGGCCCAAAGAATCAGTGAAAACTTCTGTGTAAAATGAATTTGCCCCCCCTAAGGTAATGAGGTGTAGAACTTACTGTATCAGTAGGAGGGAGCTCTCACACTTACAAGTGCATTGTATGAACTCCTGTCTGTCCATGATGTGCAAATTGTGTTCCTGCATGAGATCATTAAGTCTGAATCACACAGCCATGTATTTCCAGAATTCCATCCAATAAATTCCCAAAACAGTGGAAAACCACAATGTATGTTTCAGGTAATGGGCCATAAGAGATTATTTTAATTGTAAGAAAGTGTGCAATAACGTATTGCGTTTTACATATTTTTTATTTAATAGCAATAAAACAAGGTGACACTAAAGTAGAAAAAAGCCTGCACAGTGTGATTCCTTTGCTTCAACAGTGAACAGCTCCCTCGTACATGCAGTTCCCAACAGTCAGGTTTCTTCATCCTGATCATCTGTGGCCAGTGTAAAAGAAAGGCCTGACAGGGAACTTTAAGGAGCCAGCTGGGTAACGCCATATGAGGGAACTCTTGGCGACATTCAAAAAACTCACACTTCCACTTTCAAAATCCAGAAACACACCAACCCGGCCCAGAGGTTTCTCTACATAGTGAGGAAGCATTGGAGAGGTGGTCAAGAGACGGAAATGATCATCCACCTTCACACATAAAAGAAGAAATATGTCCTCAGATGTAATCATGGTGCCATTCTTCCTTATCCAGGAGTCCTTACAGACTCCCAGAGCCCAGTCCCAGGAGTCGTCCACATCCAGCTCCCAGTAGTGTTTCCCAGAGAAGAAGCCCCGGGCTCCCCATGCAGCAAAATAGTCAGGTCTGTCAGAATTCAAAGATCCACCTTCCCGGTCAGGTCTAACCATCCAACTTCTCACAGCCTCGAACAGCCTGATACTGTGATTGCTTACTTCATAACCGAAGGAAATTTCCACTGTAGAAAAAAGAGAATGTTCCGGTGAAAAGCAGTTTATACCTTCTTATGTTCAGATAAGAAAGAGGCTCTCACTAGAAACCACAGGTCAAGATTAAAAGGCAACGTTTGTCTGGAAAAATGTTGGAATCAAAGGGTGTTAGGCTATCTGCACAAATAAATGGCTAAAGTACAATGATCTCAATGTCTATAAACTCAAAGACTATGAAGGGGAGGACGGTCACACCTATGTCTAGTAAGCTACTGTTTGTTACAACTGAAAAACTAAAAGATCTTGCACTGCAGCCAAGTCCAAAGCAATAAAATTTACATCCATTGCCTCTTCTCTGTCAGGGCAGAGCAGCAGGCTGGGGACAGGAGATGAGGTGGGAAGCTATTCTTAAACCTAAACAAAAAAGGTATCACTTTGCCAGAAATATTATAATCTGCCACTTACGCTGGCAAATTCATACCTAAAGAGAAAATCTGAATCTGCCTAATGAAAAGGGTAGATTCCTTGCTTTCATGCCTAAAGAGAAAATCTGAATCTGCCTAATGAAAAGGGTAGATTCCTTGCTTTCATGCCTAAAGAGAAAATCTGAATCTGCCTAATGAAAAGGGTAGATTCCTTGCTTTCATGCCAGATTCGGGCACAGACTTCTTTTATCTGCCTGATTGATCATGATCTATCCTGGAGTTCTAAGGCCTCATCACCCACCAAATCACTTTCCTACTGTTCACAGCTCCTCAGTTTTTGCACCGTTATGTAAGTTATTCGTGTATGTTTTAGTTGATTAAAATGCACATGATTAAAATTACAAATGCTATGAAACTTCACCTGAAATGTACTTAAAAATAAACACTGTCACCCAAGCCACAATCATTAATAGCACTCAATCTGAAATTGAAATGTCCTGAATTAACTAAGTTCTGCATACCTCATGTAATACTTGTCTACATGAAATTGTATGAGAGAATGGTTCTAAGTCCTAAGGAGCCCTTCTGCATGTTTAATTTTTTAAAGTGATTTGTTATATGACTGATTCCTATTACATTTCACCAGCTTTTATTTAGTTTTGCCTGTTGGATGATAGTGAAACTTCAACTATAAAGACCTATTCACAGACGATTCTCTTCTTCTAGATGAAAAATCATTACACTGGGAAAGCTGCCCATAGAAAACCATTGAAGATATACGTGTTGGTCCCAGCAAGAGGGCGACACTCACCTTGGAAGCGGTTGAGCCTGTGCACCAGTCCAGTGATGGGCTCTGCAGTGAGCTCTGGATTCACAGGCTGGGGCATGTGCAGCAGCACAGACTCGCTCCTGCAGGGAAGCAGGTGCAGTTGGTTAACCGTTCTGGTTTCTGTGTTTAAGCATTTCCAACAGGAAACGCTTCATCCAAACCCACTTCTGATGTTGTAATGTTACTGCACCACGCTAGGATGGCTTTGTGGCTCTCTTAGGGAACCTTTCTAACGATTCACTGCATTTCTATCCTACTGTCACTGAAAGATAATTGCTTCTCTCCCTATATGCCACCAAATAGTTTGTCTCTAATTATAATTCTGAATCCTAAAAATAGGCAACTATATTCTAGCAACTTCTGCATTGAACTCTTTGAAACATTAACCCCTGAGTCACTCGGGAAAGTAAGAAAAGATTAACGTCTGATAGAGGGCATAGAAGAACACATTCAACATAACACACAAACACATGAGTACACAAACATATACACACAGTTACACTGACACATTATGCTCTTAATAAAGTATATTTTCACTTTGTTGGAAACAGCTTGATGTTTTTCGTAGCATGCCTTGTGCTTCAGCTTGCAATGATGGCCAAAAACATACCTTGCCATGATGTCTCCCAAATCCTGTAAAGAGAGAGAAAAAAGGACTTCTTTAGAAAGTTGTTATTCTGACCAGATGTGGGGGTTCACACCTGTAATTCCGGCATTTTTGGGGTGGGTGGATCACCTGAGATCATGTGTTCCAGAATAGCCTGGCCAACATGGTAAAACCCCATCTCTACTAAAAATACAAATAAAATCAGCTGGGCATCATAGTGCACGCCTGTAGTCCCAGCTACTCAAGAGGCTGAGGCAGGAGATTCGCTTGCACCCAGGAGACAGAGGTTGCAGTGAGTCTAGATTGGGCCACTGCACTTCGGCCTGGGTGACAGAACAACACTCTTTCTCAAAACAAACAAACAGATGAACGACTTGTTATCCTGCCATCTAGCCTTTAGGTTTTGAAAAGTTTAAAAGTACCACATACTACCACTGCAGCTCTTTTTAAATGTATTCACATCTCTAACATTTATACCAGTAAAACCTATTCATAATAGGTATTTCTGATGACTTCAGGACCCTGAATTTGAGTGAGAGAGAAAAGTGTGAGTGGTGACTGAGCACTGCTCTCTACACTGCAGTCTTTTTCAGGGCCAGTCTCCAGAGGCTAATGTGGGCATTTCAAAACCCTAGGAAATCAAGTGCCCTTCAAAATCAAGGACATTTCAAACCTAGGACTCCCCAATAGGAGAAAGAAAGAAATGTTAGTTTTCCTGTAATTTCTATGTATTATCCAATGGAGACAAAAATAGAATTTTTACAAGAAATTTTTTTCTTCCGCAGTTTAAAGGAAATGAACTGGAGAAGAAAGCTTGTGGTAGAAAATGTTCTGTGGAAGTCTATTTGCTCAGTTCCATAAAGCTTTGTTTTCATGATTAGGTTAGGAGTTGTAGTTCATCACTATAACCAGGTGAGAATGACCCTTACCATCAATGGAGGATACGAAGAAGTACCCAAATGTAAGGCAAAGACGTAAATATCAGCTAATCAAAGTGTCTCAAGGGGCATCCTCAGTTCTTACCTGGAGCAGCTCCACATCTGGTTTATGACACATTTCCATTAGTTCCTGATACGTTTCTTTCAAGTGTTTCTTCTTTTGATACTTGTTGATCCAGCTTCTCAGGAGTTGGGGAAATATCTCTTTGTGTGCCTTGTACAATCTCCCTAAGTGTTGCTTTTCTTCCTTATGGAGAACTGGATGCAGCTTCCTATACTCATCCCTGATCATCAGTGCCCGGTGATACACATAGCCCTGCAGGGACATGAATTTTGTAGGTTATATACCCAGGTCGACTCCCCACTTCACAGACCCACAAATTCATCCTGCTCTTTCCTTCATCTGTTTTTTATTCTTTACAAACAACATGATGAGATAAACAAGACATTCCCTTCAAAATTTATCTGATTCATCAATTCTTTAAAACCTGCAAAAAAGTCCTTTAGATTTACGTGTTTAAATATATCTTCTTTCAAATCTGAAATACCACTAGAAAACACATAAATTTTGGATCGATTGTTAAATTGTCATCAATAATATATGTAATCTTTGTTACTCAATTAGTTTGTGGCCTCAAATCTTTGTGATTCACAGCCTAAACAGCCACTCTCAGTAGAAATGTTGTTAGTATATTATAATCAGGATCAGAAGCCATCACACAAAAAAAGATCTTAGCAAACATTTTAACCCTCATCTCTGAAACTGACTGCCTTTTTTCTGTCTCCTCTCTTTCTTCTGTCTAAATCCACAGGCTCTGAGTTGCCCTGCCATTCTACCACCATGAATCCCCATTCCATTGTGTTTCTCCTCCCAATATTGCCATATTTATTCTCTCACTCCCCTAGTCATTATTGTCCCTTCTCGGCAGCTTTTCGTCTTGTTACGTCTTCTCCTACTTGAACTGGCATCGTGGTCTGGGACCTTCCCTATCAGATTTCACCAGCAGAGGCATTTTCCTTACATTACTGTTCCCACCCACTTTCTTACCTAGGAGCAACATCATATTCACCATTCAATATCTATTTCTCAGTTATATACTATTTAATCAATATTACATAATTCATCTCATACAGAAACCTCTGCCTGAAATATCTATTAATTTTAAGCATATACTTGCCTTTCAGAATTTATATTTATTTTTTATTTATATGAAAATATTTCTACAACACCTGAACAATTGTTATATTGAACAGTCAGGTTGTTTTCCAGCCTATGGATAAACACATGACAAAATCTGGCATATGAGAATTTCAACAAAAGTCGCTAATATAAATGTTCTCAGCATGTCTGTCTCAAGCAGGTCCTGAGGATACATGATCTCATACTCACCCTCCAGAGGGTGATTCTTTTTCTCTTCTCATTTAGATTTCTCTGATTTTCTTGAATCTTTTCCCATAGAATTCTCATTTGCTTTAGGAGCTTCTCCTGCAAAAGAATGATGAGAGTGAACAACAGAAAATCAAATACCGTAGATTCCACACTCTGAGTGGTGTATGCAGGCAAGGGGTACAATATATAGAGGCACTGGGTAGAGGAAAAAGGAAAAACAAAATTTGTCACTGCTCATCCTCAAGTAATATTATTTTTCAATTCTGAGGTTTCAGAATGTATAGCAGTTTAGGGAACTGGTAAGTGAAGATTTCTTGTAGCCCAGATAATGATCAGTGAAACATCCTGCTTCGGAATTCACTATGCTAGCCCCCAGCTTTGTCAGGTACTATGCCCTTATTTTGTTTGTCAAGTAATACTAAATACGTTTCTTTGCACTTGTAGTTTTGCTAGCTTTTCACTGTCTTTAGCATTACACTGTACAGTCAAAATAATAATGACATTTACTTAATCACCCTCTTTTTGGGTGCAAGTGCCATGAAGGCAGGTATAGTTGCATATTGTATTCAAAATTTCATCACTGGTACCTCCAAAAGCACCTGGCACTGAGTAAAGGATGGAGTGAATCAAGCCTTTGCTATTGTAAACAGTGCTGCAATGAACATTTGTGTGCATGTGTCCTTATAATAGAACGATTTATAATCCTTTGGATATAAAGTAACAGGATTGCTGGGCCAAATGGAATTTCTATTTCGTACCCCCAAACCTAAAATACAATAATATATATATATTTAAAAAACAAAGAATGGAGTGATCACAATGACGATTCTCATCTCCCTTCTCATCTATTTGCCACCAGCTTTCAAGTGATTTCAGAGCTATCTCTTACCCTGCGTTCTTCAGCTGCCCCTTCAATGGGACAGTGTTTGTGATCCCTGTGCTTCTGAGAGTTAGAGCACAGCGAGCAGAGCAGACTCTTGTCCATGTCACAGAACATCTTCTTTGTTTCCTTATGGGTCCCACATATTTGTTTCTCGGAGCTCAGGAACTGCCAGAGACTGGCTTTTCTGGCAATGGTCACTAAATTCTTGAGAAGAATATCGGTTTTGAAGTCCTTTTGGTGTGATGGTTCCCTGCATGCAGGGCAATTGGCAGGACTTCGGGCTCCTTCCCAGGAAAGGCAGAGACAGGGTCTACAGAAGCTGTGCCCACAGCCTATGGTGACAGGGTCTACCAGGTAGTCCAGGCAGATGACACAGGTGAGCTCCTTCTGGAAGGCCTGTGGAAAGTCTGAGCCCATTTTCCTAAGGGAAGAAAACCACAAGAATTTAGTCATCTACCCTTGAGAGACAAAGATCCAAGCAAAGTTTGAATCAGGTTGTGATTGAATAACATCTTTTTTTTTCTAGAGAAGAATAGGCTTTAATTTGCAGTGACAGAAATAGGAAAAATCAAAAACTCAGGCACTAAGAGACATCAACCTCTGTAGAAAAATGTGATTGTTCTCCAGTCAACACACGAAATGTTAGAACAGAACTCATACTTTGACCAAAATCAGGAAAAGCTAGCCTTTACTCCAAAGTAAAACAGACACATCAAGGTAAAGGTACTTTTCCTGGTGAAAGAAAAAAATCATTGTTTTTCTAGGCTGCTACGTTAATTTGATCAACAAAAACTTTCTGGCATATTTACTATCACTGGACTGTTTGGGGATATACTGATAAAATGTAAAAGTGTAAACAGAAGATAAAAATATTTTCTAAGCTCTTCGGAAGCATTATCATTACTCTTTCACATAGTCAGAAAAATAAATACTAAGTATCATGCAATAATAGTAGGCACTAGAGAGTCAGTGTTTCAAATGGATGTTTGAAATAAATAAATAAACCTAGGCCAGGCAAGGTATCTCAAGTCTGTAATCCCAGCATTTTGGGAGGCCAAGTTAGGCAGATTTTTTTGAGCTCAGGAGTTCTAAACTGGGCAACATGACAAAATGTCTAGATAGCCTGTCTCTAAACAGACACACACGCACACACATAATTAGCCCAACATGTTTGCACATGCCTATAGTCCCAGCTGCTTTGGGGGATGAGGCTGAAGAATTGCTTGAAGTAGGAAGCAGAGGCAGTAATGAGCTTTATTTCCAGCACTGCACTCCAGCCTGGGTGATCCTGTCTAAAACAGAAAAACCGAAGTGGAAAACCTAAATCCTGGTTTCTACACTATATAGATACACAAACCCTCTATTTCTGTTGTTTCTGCACAATTGCCAGTGAGACTTTTCTCCATGAATATTCATTTCTGGCTTTCTTTGACAGAGTAACTGAGGTTTCTGAAGAGACTTTTACTATGTTTTAGAAAAAAATGTTTGCCCAAACCATTGAATGCACTCTATCTATGTAGAGCCACACATTGTAACACAGGCCCATGACCACTGGTAGAATAGAATATAACACATTTATACACACACAGTGCAATACCCCTAACCCATTTACAGAGTCTACAGAGATTAAAAAATTACTAGATATTTCAAAACTACTGCAAAATGCGTACAATCTATAAAACAACTAAGAAATACATTAAGTAAAAAACTAATCGTAACATTAATTTGAGGGTCATGTAGCAAGAGAGATGACAGAAATGTTTAATTTGTAAATAGGTTAAATAAAAGGAGCTTCTAAGCCTGTGGATTATGTTTAAAATAATTTTTAGAAAGAAATGGAGCCGTTTGTAAAACTCAGAAAACGAGATCATTTCATCTCAGAAAATCTAAGTTTGCACATAAATTCAAGTTCCCAAATTTTGTTTGTTTTGTTTTGTAACCTAATAGTAGCTCCTACTCTGTAAATTGTGTACTTACCTCAGAAATCGATCTGTGTTCTCAGCAAAGCTTGCTGTCGATTACGATGAGTTCAGCTCAGGGATCAGGGTCTCACGTGCAGTGCCGGTAGCTTTTGGAAGTCTCCAAGGCCACTCTGTGGGTTCTGGAGAAGAATGAGCTTGGCTCCTGAAGTGTCCTTTTATACATCTGTGAAGACCACACCCTTTTCCTCTAATTGATTGGATTTCACAGGCGTAGGTGGGTGTTAACATAGATGATTAAGTTTCTTCCGATCAGATTTTTTTTTTTTTTTTTTTTTTTTTTGGTGGGAGTCTTGCTCTGTCGCCCAGGCTGGGGGGCAGTGAAGCGATCTCAGCTCACTGCAACCCCCGACTCGCAGGTTCAAGCAATTCTCCTGCCTCAGCCTCCCAAGTAGCTGGGATTATAGGTGCACCCTGCCACTCCTGGCTGTTTGGCATTTTTAGTAGAGAGGGGGTTTCACCATGTTGGCCAGATTCCTCTGGAACTCCTGACCTCAAGTGACCCGCCTGCCTTGGCCTACAAAACTGCTAGGATTGCAGGCATAAGCCGCAGCCTCTAGCTGATTCACTTTTATTGTGATGTAAGAATTTAAGGACACTCTTGGCCTCCACTCCAGAAGGAATATTTCTCCTGCTCCTCATGCTCCAGATGAAGGCTTCCAGGGCCTCTCAGCAACTGCGGGACATAGGATTCCCTCCTATGTTACCTGGCACTGCTTATTCCCAGCTCAAGGGGCAGAGAAAGTCCAGAAAGCTCTAGCCAGGTGCAGTGGCAGGCACCTGTAATCCCAGCTACTGGGGAGGCCAAGGCAGGAAAATCTCTTATGCCCGGGAGGTGGAGGTTGTAGTGAGCCGAGATCATACCACTGCACTTCAGCCTGGGTGACATAGTAAGACACCGTCTAAAAAAACCCCATAGGCCGGGTGCAGTGGCTCAAGCCTGTAATCTCAGCACTTTGGGAGGCCGAGGCAGGTGGATCACGAGGTCCAGAGTTCGAGACCATCCTGGTCAACATGGTGAAACCCCGTCTCTACTAAAAATACAAAAAATTAGCTGGGCATGGTGGCGCGTGCCTGTAATCCCAGCTACTCAGGAGCCTGAGGCAAGAGAATTGCCTGAACCCAGAAGGCAGAGGTTGAGGTGAGCCGGAGATCGCGACATTGCAGTCCAGCCTGGGTAACAAGAGCAAAAGTCCGTCTAAAAAAAAAAAAAAAACCATAAATAAATAATAAAATAAATATAAAAAATAAAGATGATTAGTAATACAATCTAAGAAGACATTTATGACAAAAATATAAAGCAAGCAGAATGAATATAATATTGTAAATCTAATTTGATTAATTTTATTTAACAAATATCAAAAAAAGGATTTTAATAAATTAGTATAATGATTGTGTTATCTTTAGGGGAATATTGGGAGAATTGTTTCATTATGTTTACAATTCTTTCCATTTTATGTGTGCGTGTGTGAGTAAGATGTCAAAAATGAAACCCCGTCTCTACTAAAAATACAAAAAAAATTAGCTGGGCATGGTGGCGCGTGCCTGTAATCCCAGCTACTCAGGAGGCTGAGGCAGGAGAATTGCCTGAACCCAGGAGGTGGAGGTTGCGGTGAGCCAACATCGCACCATTGCACTCCAGCCTGGGTAACAAGAGCGAAACTTTGTCTCAAAAAAAAAAAAAAAAGAGAAAGAATATATGAGTAGATTTCAAACACCGTGTATTCCATGAAGCTGATTTTCTCTTTAAAAGAAAAATGATGTTTTATCTACCTGACAAAATGCCTCATTATTCGAATTATGATTTGTTTATGACAGGCAACATTTTCTTCCTTCAGTATTTGTATATTTGTTTCGTATTTTTCCAAATGATAGTAAAGATCCATTTTGTGTCTCTATTTGATGTTTACAATTCCTGAAACACCTGAGCAGTGCATTGCACATAATAAATAATTTCTCTATAAGTAAATTAAGCTGAATGTTGAATTTCTCAACTGAAACTTTGAAATGTGAGGAAGAGCAATGTCTTCATCCTTATTTTCTTGTATCAGTTCTTTCCCCTGTATCAAAGGATACCGGGTGTTAATACAAGTTACAGAGAAAGAGAATGTGTGTGTGAATTTGATTCAGAAACCCATACCATTTTATTGAAATTATGTTTCATTTGATTGTCTCATCTGCTAACAGGGATTCTGTGTTTCATTTACCATATACTATTACAAAATATCAGTTCATGATGCTAAATTCACAAATGTTGAATATAGCTGAATTTCAAATTATGGGGGTTTTAGTTATTACTATTTTTCTTTTGTCAACAGGGTACAGTTGAAAGAATAATATAGACTTCCTATTTCATTCTAAAATGATCTAGTGTGAATTTAGGCAAGTTATTTAACTCCTGATCTTTTTCTTTTATCTCAACTATGAAATGGGGCTACTACCCTGCTCAACTTGCAGAATTGCTCTGACGATTAAAAATCGCATATTGTGTTAACATTCAAAACAGTAATTGGCTCATAGGAAGTGATCAGCCAGTTGTAAATGCTCTTAGTAAAACTAAATTATAAAATAAAAGAGATAAATTAATGAATAAAATAATTAATGCTTTCTTTTTTCTTTTTTTGAGACAGAGTTTCACTTTCGTTACCCAGGCTGGAGTGCAATGGCGCGATCTCGGCTCACCGCAACCTCCGCTTCCTGGGTTCAGGCAATTCTCCTGCCTCAGCCTCCCGAGTAGCTGGGATTACAGGCACGCGCCACCGTGCCCAGCTAATTGTTTGTATTTTTAGTAGAGAAGGGGTTTCACCATGTTGACCAGGATGGTCTCGAACTCTGGACCTCGTGATCCACCTGCCTTGGCCTCCCAAAGTGCTGGGATTACAGGCCTCTGAGCCACCGCACCCAGCCCTTTGTTGTTATTCTTAAGAGACAGGTTCTCACACTGTCTCCCAAGCTGAAGTTCACTGGTGCCATCTGATCTCCCTGCAGCTCAAACTCCTGGGCTCAATCTTCCCACCTCGGCCTACAAAATTGCTAGGACTTCAGTCACATGCCACAATGCCCAGCTAATCACTATATTAATTATAACAGAATTTCAGCAATGAAATATTGTCTAGTAAAATGAAGGGAGAAGTCTAGATAATACACGATGAGCGCATATAAGAAACTGCCATTGTTTCCAGGGTGATGTTGTAGTAGCCAATGAAGAGTCCCCTCACACGCTGGCCTCACTGAACGTTAACAAGTTGTGGTGGTGTCGCACTTGAAAAACTGGCTTTAAATCCACACTTCAGAACTCCCTGGAAACTTACCTTCTGGGCCACTTGTAAAGCTGTTTAGAAAGAAATGTCATGTCAGAGGGTCTCCATGACAAATTTGAAAAAAGGCCAGTATCAGGAGAAGCTCTTGGCTGCTGAGTTGTCCTGGCACCATGAACTTCAGGAAGTGAGTGCTATAGCAGCAGCCTGTACTACAGAATCCGGGCAGTGGCGTACCCCGTATGCCCTCCAGGCCAGACACTGTAGATATCATTTCCGAAGCAGATTGAAAGCACTTTTCTGGAATTTCTCTCCAATGCTTTCTACTCACAAAGATTGACATCTTAACACTTGGCAAAGAATAAAATTATTAAATGGGTCCAGATCCATTTATGTGAACAATCAAGAGTGAGTTTGTAGGGGATAACCCAAAGTTGGATAAATGGTACATAATAAAGTATATTTACTCATTTTCTGCTGATGTACATTTGGAATTTTTTTTTCGTATTTTGCTTTTCTGAACATGTCTCATAATGCAAATATTCAAGGGGTTCTGTTTCCTGACAGTGTCTACCGATAGGTGGAATGTCTGGGTTATAAAATTTGTTGATCATCAATTGTACTGGGCACTGTCACGTATCGTTTCAGAGTGACTTCATTTATTTATATTTCTACCGACAGGGTAATTGTATTATATAAAATAATAGAAGTATGGGTGACTGTGGCAAATTAAAGAAATACAAATAACTCACTCTTATTAGAATACAAGGCATTTGAGGGAAGAACAATGTATACACTGAGCACCAAATACTTCAAATAAGTTTTGGAAGACATCCAGAGGAGTCTAACTACTTTCTTGAAGTTTATCAAGATCTCATGATGAGGTTAAGTAGGTGGAATATAGGCACATTTGCATTTCAGAAAGCATTCTGGCCTAGGTAGAATAGAAGGGCATTAACCCAGTAAGAGAATAGAGCTAATGTGTGTGTGTGTGTGTGTGTGTGTGTGTGTGTGTGTGTGTGAGAGAGAGAGAGAGAGAGAGAGAGAGAGAGAGAGACGAGGTCTCACTCTGTCACCCAGGCTAGAGTCAGTGGCACAATCCCAGCTCAATGCAACCTCTGTCTCCTGGGCTCGGGCAATTGTCCAGCCTAAGACTCCCAAGCAGCTGAGATTACCATCTGGTGTGCACCATCATGCCTGTCTAATCTTTGTATATTTTGTGAAGATGGAGTTTCACCATGTTGCCCTGGCTGGTCTTGAACTTCTCAGCTTGACCAGTCAAGGCACCTAAGCCTCCCAAAGTGCTGGGATTACAGGCATGAGCCACCATGCCATGTCCTGAATCTTTTCTCATGACAACTGCTGTCATGTAGACTTGACCCTCAGAAAAGATAAGGTGACCCTCATCCTTTGGATTTCAGCTTAGGTGTTATTTCTTTTAGGAAGACTTTCAGGATGATTGTCACTGATAGGAAAACAGCTTTCAGAGACAGAGTGCCTGGGTTCAAACCCTAGTTTCTTCCTTAATTAGGGTATGACTATGGGCAAATCATTAAAGTTTCCTGTTCTTACATTTATTAATCTGTAAATGAGTATAAAATATTATTTACCTCATGGGGTTGCTGTAAGAATTAAGTAAGCTAGAACTATCCTAGTGTAAAGCACTTAGAATGGTTTTTGGCATATAACTGGTAATCAATAAATGTCTAATATTTAATGACAGAGTATTTTTTACTTAGGTAATGAAATACACTTTTTCTCTGTTACCTATTCTGCATGATGCCACAGTTGGAGTATAATACGTGGTAACTTTTTCGGCTTCTAAAATTTGCAACTATTGTTCATTCTTTTAGATGCATCTCATAAGTTGCTTATTGTTTATTTCTGTAATACAGGGCATTCTACACAACATAGCACTGAATTTTTGCTGAAAAGTGAGAATACTAGAAAGTGTTTCTTCTCTACACTCAGGCAGATAATATGCAACATTTTAAGAAGTGTTTGAAGCAGTTTTCAAAAAACAGCATCTCTGGAAAAGTCTGCATATATGCATCTATGATGACCGTTTCTTAACTTTTTTGGATCTATCTTTTCAAGCATAATGCCGATCAAATGACACTTCAGAAAACATACAAATTTGCAATGCCATGGATTGATGAAAAAGACAGCCACCTCATGTTTTTCTAGCATCATATGCTGGTTTTTATAAGTTTTACAATCTTTTTTTTTTTTTTTTTTTTTGAGACGAAGTCTTGCTCTGTCTCCAGGCTGGAGTGCAGTGATGCAATCTTGGCTCACTGCAACCTCCGCCTCCCGGGTTCAAGCGATTCTTCTGCCTCAGCCTCCCAAGTAGCTGGGACCACAGGCGCGTGCCACCACGCCCAGCTAATTTTTTTGGTACTTTTTTTTTTTTTAGTAGAGACGGGGTTTCACCGTCTTGGCCAGGATGGTCTTGATCCCCTGACCCTGTGATCCGCCCGCCTCTGCCTCCCAAAGTGCTGGAATTACAGGCGTGAGCCACCGTGCCTGGCCAAATTTTACAATTGTTTTAGTGTCTGTTAATATGTAAATGTTGACTTGGATTTAGATTTTTGCTTTTTCAATTTCTAGCAAGATTTGTTAAAGTTTACAGAAATGACCTAAATCTCCAAACATTAGATAATTTATTAATACAACTATGTGTAAATATGTAAGTCATGGTAAACGACAAAATCTGTTAGTATGGCAACAGTGTTAAAAATATCTTTCATACACTATTAAAGATGATTATGCATATAATTATCGTGTATATAACAACCAGGCACCTTGGCGAACACCTGAAATTCCAGCACTTTGGGAGGTCGAGGCAGGTAGATAACCTGAGGTCAGCAGTTTGAGACCAGTCTGGCCAACATGTTGAAACCC